TGCAAAACTTGTCTCACAGCAATAAAATTACATGGTGAATGAACCAAACTGAGATACCTTATGTAATAACTAAATTATAGTTCACATGCATGTACAGTACTATTGTCATTCAAATATATGAATTTTTGATGTGATGAATAAAATATGAATTGAATTACAAAAGTGTCAATTTCATTTTTTTTTCTGATCATTCATAAGAGGAGTCACAAACTTTTAAAAATAATTACAATAATTTGAATTTTGATTAATTATAATCTTATTGTTAAAAGTATTTCAATTATTTGTACAGTATTTAAACAAATATTGAACAATTGTCTTCCTTTTTTCCAAATTTTCATAAAACATTAAAAAGTGAACAAACATTAAATGTGAAAAATAAAAATGGAATACTGTTTCTCAAATCTAAATCTATTGAGTCACACATGCATATTTATATATCGTAAAGTTTATCGGCCCGGCGGCCAGAAAAATCATCCTGGGCAAAATGGACCTGAGGAGAACACTGAAACATTTCCAGTGCTTTGTGGAATTTTCAATTTATGACGCTTCGTTTCAGCATTCAAAAACTTTCGAATTTTGGATAAAGGGTTTTTAACTTGTATTGTATTTTTAATACTGAGTTTAACAACAAGACCAGATTTTTATAATATATAAATTATCTAATTGATAAGTTTTTCCATGTTTATACATTATATAGTAATATAATGAAAAAATATTTTGCCGTTTTGCTAGAGAACATTAAAACAATTAAGGCGTGAGAGAATATAAAATGTCGCAACTGATTGAATATCTATTAGTAGTGGTGTTTGCATATGGGACAAACTATGATAGACATGGATTAGACATATATCTTTGCATAGTCTATACAAATCTGGACTTATAACTAAATATTACAGATAATATACAAATATACTTACAAACATATAATGTATCATTGTATGTCAGCATTTCTAAGAGGAAAAAAGATAGCGTCCTTGTTTTTTTTTCCGTTTTAGAAATGCTGACACATTTTCTTGCATCGATGATATCTGCTTTTTCGCAACTAACTCCATTNCAAAAAAATATACGTATTTTGGAAATGTTGAGTCGAATTAGTCTAGAATCGATTAATTTTATGAAAGAAAACCTTTCAAACAGCCGTAGTCCGTAAACTATGATTCCTACAAAATTGATTCATAAAGAACGGAACGTATCTACCGTCTTATAGGGGGATCTACTGTATATTATATTTATATCCCAATGATAAATTCCAAATAATATAAATAAAAAGAATAAGAAATATATGTTAAAAAAATATAATAAAAAATTGATAATGTAAAATGTTACAAACACAAAAGAAACCAGATTTAGTTGGGAGGATTCTATGAAGATAGAATTAAATGAAAAAATTATCTTCGGAATTTACTTTTTCTTTACAGCATCCTTTCAAATATAAAGCTGACAGAAGCTATTAAATTTAGAAAGCAATTAACAAAGTGATTAACTTTCAAGTGTTCTAACATCTAATCAGGAAAGTGAGTAGTTGAAAACATGACTAAAAAATGAAATACAACGAACAAATAGTAGCAGTGGCATAGTACAGTATATCAAGTATTATTACCTTAACAAGTTTAATATAATAATTTAACTGCAAACTAATATTAAATTTACAACAACATAAGATTACAGTAAATTTAATTATGTATAAAGTTAAATTGCAAATCAATATACAGTTTAAAATTAATCATAATTATAAAATTGAATATTGATTAATGCAAAAATCTTTGCATTTTAAACTTTTGAATTATAAAAATTTAATTTTCAAAATACTTTTAAAAATAACTTTGTTCTTAGAAATGAATTTTATTTTAATTCTCTGTGCACGTATATGATAATGCTTGAAATGGTTAGATCAATAATAACAATGTGTTCTTTTAATGTCAATGTGCTCTCTGAAATAAGACTTAATGACTAAAATAATTCAAATTTATATTTGAATTTTTTTACTCATTAAATCTTATTTATATAATTCACATAATTTTTAATTTTTATATAAATTAGATTTAAAAATAATTTTTCATCGCCTAGTCTCCAGAAACATGCTTCAATTGGAAAGAATAAAAGCAATTTTAGTTGCATGTTAACATTTATAAAGTAAAAAAAACAAACATACACACACAGAATCATATTAAACATAACAATGCCACACTAATAAAAAAAAATAAAAATCACACTAAATTATACATATTTACAAAACTGTATTTTAATTATATTTATCACTATTATTTTTTGTTATAATATGAAAATAAAACTGTGCAAATTAATCAAATTTGGTCAAAACATGGAATTCATAACATAATACACACTGTTTAAGCTGTTGCTGGTTTTTTCGCTAAAATGCTACAAGAATTTAGATTTAATGACAAAAATTGTCACTAAATCTAAATTCTTGGCACATTTTGCTAAAAAACTAATGTTTTTCAAATGGTTAAAGCATCTTAAAATCTAACATTTTTTAAATGTTTTAACTAGTGAAGAGACAATACCAAAATTTCTCCCAATTCAGATTCTTTTGAATACTTTCTAAAGTTTATTTTAGTTTAGAAAAATTAATGATTTACATTAGGAGTACAATACATTCATTAGTTAATAAACATCAAACTTAAAAATGGAAAGTGATCGGAAAATCCAAAATTGATCTTTCGAAATGAACCCGAAAATTCTCCATTTATATGTAGATATGTATGCTTTTATTGTGTAGTAAGAAAATAAATTTGTAATCTTATTGCAGATAAAGTTAATATTGTGACATTACCCCCCAAACAAATTACAGCTAATCCACTAAAAAAATAGAAAAAACTATCATCGTGTCATCGAAGGTAGCAACCTTTGAAAACTGTTTCATTGGCTGACCTGACAACCAGGGGAAGAAAAAGGTAAATGAGAAGATGCACTTCTTTTTTTAATGCTTCTCATAATTAGCATGCCTCATAAATGCTGTAATTCCATCAAATTTAACACTAAATGAGGTTCAGCAAATGATACAACGAACAGAATGAATATCATCATCACTAGTTAACCAAGTTTTGAATTTATTCACTTGAGCCAGATTTTCCTAAATGTACAATTGTGTACTTCTTTGAGGAAAAGAAGAATTAAATGAATTCCTAAACTGATTCATCTTGAAAAACCAAGATTTAAAACTCAAAATGGCAGTAAATTTAGCATGAATGATTATTTTACTAGAATCGCATGAAACACATTCGAAAATTTAACCTATTACACATTTGTGAATCATAACAAAAACTTTAATACTTAGTTATAATGGAAAAGTCATTTTAACATTACAAAACACTTCTGTATAGGTTGAAATTAATTTAGCTCAAACAACACCTTAAATACTTTAGGAAACACTTTTTTTTTAATAAAAATTAAACATTTTCAACCCCTTTTCAAAGGTCTGCATCAGGTTTAAGAAATGGGTTTGAACTGTCTTCTTAAACAGTGCAAATCTTCTTGTTAAATCTGATGAAGACATATGAAAAGAATCAAAAATGGTCATATAAACAAGTTAGTGTTGCTGTGAAAGTATTTAAGGTGTTCAAGCATTTTATCATTATAAATAAACATACTAAACATTAAAAATAATTATATTTAACATTTTTCAATTAAAATATAATTTTGTTCATACAGTCGCTTCTGCTTAATTGGGACACATTGAGACTAATCCATTTTGGCCCAATTAAGCAGAATTGACTGTTTTGCCAAAACTTAAATATTTTTGTTGACCACCAGCCTCGATTTATAATTTCCAGCCAAATCGACCCAATACCGGCAGCCCTAACATCCCATCTCTTTTAAAATGGGATAATTAGTACTGAGTGCAATCTCTCGTTGCTTCGACTATGAGAAAAAAAAGTCCACCTTGACAGACATCACCTCGTGTATGGGGTGTCATGTATTCTCTGCTTTGTAGACACGAAAGTTCCAATAAACGAATACTTAATTGTTAATATTGTAATTTTAAAAACAATTTCTGATGGGGTGAGATTTATTTAAAAGGTTTGCTGCTGTCAGATTTAAGGATATGTCATTGGCTAAAGTTTATAAAATGATAGTTGTAAATGACCTTCTCTCATATTATCCTCATATATCAACAGCTATTGAATTTGTTCTTTCACACCCTGTGAAAACTGTTATGTGTGAAAGATTTCAGTGAGATGGAATTAACAAAAACTCCAATTACAAACTGTCTTGATGTAAAAAATATTAGCAGCTTGTCAAACATCTCCATAAATGGCCCCAAGATGGGAATTTGATTTTCATTTGACATTTATGCCTGGTGTAAATCAAAACCAATAAGAATTGTTCAATAATGTATGATACTTGTGGGTTGTAACAATAGATTTATGGTTATAGTGGTAGTGCATTACAGTGTAATAACATACAATATCAAATGTTAAAATAATAATGTATTGTGAATTGTTCTGTGCAGCCTCACTGATGAGAAATGTTAGCAATGGTTTCTAAAATTTTGCTACAACTTTTTTATTAAAATTAGTGAAAATGCTATAAAAAATGTTTTCCCAGCTTAAACCCTGGATATATATAAAATAAATGATATAATTAGGCTGCATGCTGTGATCAAAGTAGACTTAATAAAATGATAACTGATATATTAATCATGTTACATTGCATATGTACTTTTTTTTTATTTTTTTTAAATTTTTTTTATTTGTGGTTTTAGGCCCTTTACCATTCAGAGAGCACGAAATGGCCATGTGCATATGTACTAATAAATAAAATCTTATTTAAGACATTTATGTATGTTTTAGCAGCAATATTCATCAAATAAGATCCAAATCATTGATTGATTTGAATGATTCTATTAAACCAAAATAATTTTAGACTTTTTCAGCTGTTTTGTCTAATTCTGTTTAGATAAAAAAGCATTTTTGAAAGCTCAAATATATTTTGTATTATTTTTTAAATAAATAAGTTTAAATTTATATATCACTTACTTCATAACCAATAGGAGATTTTTTTGATTTAGAAAATTTTTCCAGTTCAAGCCAATCACCAGTTTCTGCTAAACAACCAACCTTCAACCACCAATATCTAGAATTAAAATGACATTATAGATAAATATATTATGCAGACATTAATAATAACTGATATAGTCAACTCTTAAGAACATAAATAAATTACATATTAATACTGATATGTCAAAAATATGTTTCAGAAAATTATTTAGATTACTATAATTATTTTTCATAATTAACATTATTAAGGTTTTTTTGTTAGTTTTTATTTTTAATAACTAAAAATTAATGATTTTAGAATGTATTTATAAATAAATGATAAAAACACTAGAGTCTTAATAATTTATTTATATTTAATGATATTATTATTATTTATTTATTCTTTAATATGTTTGACTTAATATAATGTAAAAAAATTTTCAATACAAGTAGATTGAATTTGCATTTTTGATTTTATTTACAAATTTCACTTATGTTTAACCAATTGAGATTGAGACTTTACAGTATTTAAAAACTTTTCATACTTTAACTTTTTTATAAAATTTTAAAATACTGAATAGATTCTGAATATAGAGAAAAGTTGCTGTAAAAATATAAAATATTTAAAATTCAGTCTTTGAAGTACTTTGTCTTTTGTTAATTAATTTTTTTTATATTAGGTGAGAAGTTGAATGTTTTGTTTAATGACTTTAAAGGATTTTCAGATTTACTAAAAGATCTAAATATATTGAAATGTTTTAATAAATCTGATTTGCAAATAATGGCGAGTTTGAGTTTTTTGAAGTCACAAAAGTAGTAGTAATATGACAAAATAAAAATATCATATTATTGCTAAGCTTAAGTCACTGACACATTTTCATTTGTGTTTCTGAAATGATTATAGGAATAGATTTTCATTATTATTACAGTAAATCTATATAATTATATCAAACAATAATGCATAATGAATATAATTTTACTGATCATTGTGCTTAATATAATGGACAAAATTCATCACAATATTTGTTTATGAAATAAGAAGTATTTATCATCTTTTACTGCTTACAGATAACTGTTAATCATAGAACATATCAATAATGATAGCAGTGATTTAAAGAAAAATGATTTCAAATAAGTTAAGTATATTAATGGTTTATATGTAATAAATAACTTTATGTATATAATTGCTATTTATTAGAATACATTAAATTTTAATACTAAGTTAATTTTCTTAACACATTAACTTATACAGTATGAAATATATTGATTTATGTGACTGGCTATTAACTTTTATTATACTCTTGGTTGTTAATCATTGTAATAACATATGTATTAGAATGAATGAAGGGGAAAAATAAGCACTATATTGGTACATCAAGTGATTATAATTAATATAATTAACAGGGTTGCAATTCAGCCAGCACTCCTCTATGCTGTATAGGTCTGGGACCACATGGCCGCCAATGTCCATAACCATAAAAAACTCTGCATTTATAAGGCTTATAGGACCTCACCCACTAGTACCCTTTTGGTAATGCCAGGGTTGACTCCTATCAACTTGGAAATGAAATGCATTATTTGGCAGGGAAACCTCATCTCCTTACCCTGGTGAGATTATAGGGACTCGGATGTCGACAAAATGATTAGAGTAGGTAAGATCCCCCCAGTTTGACCTTGATCAATGATATAAAAAAATTCAGCATCGACAAAAATACCCTTACGACTTATGATTACTACCCCTCCCATCAGCTTGAACCTAATGTTTACTTCAAAGATCAAGGTGATCATCCCATGTTTAGGATTTACACTGACTGTTCCAAGATGGGTGACAAAGTGGGTGCTGCTTTTGTAGGTTACTCCGACTTAGGCCGTAAGCTTCACAACACTTGCTTCCATCTAGGTACACACTGCTCAATAGCACAGGTGGAAACTTTAGCTATTTATATGAGCTTACTTCACATTAGTCATACGAAGAACAAAACTTACCCTATTGCATTTATTCTGACAGTAAGATAGCTTTACACAAGATTGCAAAGTCTGATAGTGGCTTAAAACTCGTCCATCTCATACACCACATTCTCAGACACTTAGATAACAACATTAGAATAGGGGGTGTTGTTGCTGAGAATCCCTGCACAACCTCTGGCTATGCAAGGTTCTTAGCAACATTCATTTGATTCTCAGCAGTAGGTGTTATATAACAATTACTATGGTTGTTGAAATACTGAATATAAATGGGGTTTGCTTGCAAAATCAGCACGTACAAAGTCGCAGGTAACAGCTAGTCTGGATATATAGTCTAAATACATTATCATTAACGCTTGACTTTTGTAAATATGATTTTGTTTACTAGACAAAATTATTAATTTTTAAACTGAATAATGCAATACTAATCAAACCTCTAAATGCTGAATCATTTTGGCTAACCTTAGTTAACTATTAATAATCAGGCATTTAGAGATTTGGTTACAGTACTTATATATATATACAGTATATGCAGTATTGTTAATGTTTTATTCATTATCACAATATTAAGACAGATTAAAGTTATAAAGAGTAATGGATGTCTATCTGATAATCACTGTTCATTTGTTGTTAATTCTACTTGTTATATAAAAAAATGACAAATTAAAAAATGAAATAAATAACAACAATCTAAGGATATCTCATATTTATAATACTATTAATGAAATATAATAGACTCACAAAAACCTTTAAGTGACCAGTAAAATATTTAATTGAAAAACAACAAACGTTTATTGTTTTTCAATTAAATATTTTACTGGTCACTTAAAGGTTTTTGTGAATCTATTATATATATTGTACCAGTACCTGTTAACGAGTGTTTAACCTTTACACAAGGTATTAATGAAATATTGATTGAACAGACTAATTACACAAATATTCATATATCTAATCGAAAGATATTAATACATAACTTTAACAAATGTTCTGTGATCTATATTTTGCTAATTGTAGAAATTATATAATATATAAAGAGTAATTGATAGTTTACAACAACTTACATGTCACGATGATTAATGACTTTGATGATACAAATGTTAGTAGTATTATGTGACAATTATATTCCCAAAAAATTTTTTTCACATCAAGAATTGTAGATTGTTCTTATTTATTCTGCATGTAAACTGTTTAAACTTTTTACTTTACATTTTTGAGTTATTATACAAGGGTTTTTCACAAATCATATCATTAATTCTTTTCAAAAAAATGCATTACAGTGAAAAAATTTCAAAATATGCATATTAAAGGACATAATATACTAAATAACATTAGTCAGAGGATCAGTTATATATAAAGGGTTTTAGTTTTAGGAAGCAAAAAATAATAGGCACACTTCAAATGTATCATTATATATTTCTTTATTCCTTCACCTTAGAAATAGTAATACTGAACATGTATAATTTTATGCACACATTAAATTACACACACAAAGAACCATCAAAGTATTCTCTGAGATAGTCAATCATTGACTGCCAATGATAAGGAAGGTGACAATATCATCAGCTTCACTATTGACAAATCTTGCAATCTTGCACTTTATTGTGTTTTATAAACATTTCTCATGCAATGGCTCTCTCACTTTGGATATAAAATATCCAAAGTGAAAGATCAAATAGGCCATTTACTCTGTGATTGTGATTATTATGATAAAATCGTAATAATCACAACCAGAGTAAAAGGTCCAGTGAAAAAGTAGGGGATGATTGATTCCTAACCCCAGCATTATAAAAAATTCTTGATACTATTTGCTTTATGAAATTATTATGAAGAATTCTGGCATTGTGAAGCAGTTCAGAATGTTTACCCATAAATTGCATGATATAGGCTATTCTGTAGGAAAGTCTTATAGCAAGCTTCATTTACAGTCTGACTACATGGAACAAAATAATATAAAATAATTCCCAGATATCATATGTGAAGATTCTTATGACCTTAAAATGGGATGAGTTTTGTCAAAACTTGTATTATTGTGGCAACTCTGAATGTCATCACTCAGCAGAATAAGGTTTATGCTTCAATTCATAGGCCCTGACCAATGTTTCACCAATGGCAATAATCTTATTCAACAGTTAAACTTACCTAATGTTTTAAATAAGTCATATCTTTACTTTGTCAAATTAAAAATTCTCTTATGGATAGGATTAATAAGAATAAATACTGTATTTTACAGAATATAAGATGTACAGTACATCCATTTTAGCACAGAATATTTGGGAAAAAGTATTTAGTGTATTAATTAAGCTGTCTCTCATCACTGGCACTTAGCACCAATTATTTTTTTACTGTATTCTGGTTAAAAAGAAAAAAGTAAAATTAGAATGCACACTTTTATTTATCAAATAATAAAAAAGGAGTTTAAAAAAGTCATTTACCATTAATATATTCTACATGGATTCATGCAAAAGCTGCTTAGGAAGAAATAATTCTTTAATTAAACATATTAAATTTTTATTCAAAAGTTGGGCTAGGAAGAGGTTTACAAAAGACAATTTGGAAAATTTATTAGGCTATGGAAAATTGCAACATTTAGGGCAATATTTTTAGACTTTTGGACAAGTACTGTCTTATATACCAACGATGCCCAAACTGTGGCTCACAAGCCACATGCGGCGGCTATTCAAGAGCTTAATTGTGGCTCAACTAATAAATAAAAAATATTTGTTATTTTTTAAAATTTCATTAAAAACCTTACAAATTCATAAACCTTCATCTAGTAAAGAGTAAATTTTAAANGCCCAAACTGTGGCTCACAAGCCACATGCGGCGGCTATTCAAGAGCTTAATTGTGGCTCAACTAATAAATAAAAAATATTTGTTATTTTTTAAAATTTCATTAAAAACCTTACAAATTCATAAACCTTCATCTAGTAAAGAGTAAATTTTAAAAAAATGTAATAAATATGTAAAAATTGTCAAAATAAATACATTATGATTCTGAAATTTTTATTTTTATACCAAGATTTTTATACATTAGGTGCAGCTCCCAATATTTTCAGGTAGGTAACTAGGGCTCTTACAGCAAAAAGGCTGGAAATCCCTGTTATATACCATAAAATACGATAAATAAGCAAG